TCGGACGTGGACTGGTTCAGAGCAGCGAGCGTCAAGGTCGACCCTTCATGGCTCAAAGAAATCAGCCGCCTGTTTTTTACTATACTGTCGACGTGGACCATCGGGCGTAACGACTATGACGACCCATCAGTGGGCCCTGAGGCCACTGCTCCTAGCCTCGATGTTAGTCTATATTCTACTCGTTGCGACTATGTATGTCAAGTATCACTTCCCGCTTGGCTATATACGTCGTCATGATTCTCTACTTCCATCAAGACGCTTCTCCTAATACCGGTATGTTGTTTACAAATGGCCAATCAGCCATTGATATATATCCTGCTAACGACGGAGTATTTCCTACTACAGAAACTTTTGGTCAGCAGGCATGTTACGGTATGATGCTGAGTGACATTGCTAGCAACCATCCGGAAAATTCTTATATCTCCTCTCGTCCGTGGCTCCGCCGCGCAATATGCTGGGTCGCTATCGCACTTGGGCTATGGTCGGCCTCTTATCCCGAACATGACGTCGATAGATGCGGCTGGTCCAACATTCTCCTCGAGTCATCTAAGTACATGTTCCCACCAAACGTCAATCTTGGAAAACGCTTCACGGCCCTCGGAGTCGACCTCATTATTCTCGGCATATTTCTTTCTCCTTCTATCAAAAATGTGCTCTCCAACAGCTTCTTCCTATGGTTTGGCCGAAACAGCTTTGCCGTCTACCTTACCCATGGCACTCTGCTGAAGACGGTCCTAACCTATATGGTCTACGGCAATATCACCGGGGAACCATGGGTTGTCACCAAGAATGAAAACGGAGAAGACGTCCTGCCGCCATGGTTCACTCGGGGATCCCCCGGGGTATTCGCTATTTGTATACCGATCTGGCTGGTGATAGTGTACACTATTGCTCACTTCTGGACAACATACGTCGACTCCTTCTGTGCACGAGTCACTCAGCGCCTTGAAAGCCTTGCCTTTGAGTCCGACAATGAGAAAACCCAACTCCCTAGGTGATGGGAATTACGAAAGCATAAGTGTGTGTGGATTTTCTACATTTAAATATATACCCTTGTTCATTTAGTTGTCTCTTCTCTTTTGTTGCGCTTCTTTTAAGTGGTGAGCATTTGACTAGCCATCCGTTTCCTTTTTTCGATATTTCCTAGAGTTAGATCTGAAAGAGATGTGCATTTCTGGTGTATTATATACATCCCCTACCTTGCCTGGTTTATGTGTTTCCATGTTAGCATTATCATATCGCCCTTCCATTCATTACTAGGGCTTTTTGGACATATCACCTTTTAGAGCGAGATAGCAGACACCGAACATATGTATTATTTCACTCATGCTATGGACTATCTATCTACGTCGGTACTAAGTAGTCGTCAGAGCTATCGCAATTGGCCGAAATTCGCAAACATGAAAAAAAAAAAAAGAAAGAAACAACAGGCATTCGTTACATCGTTTACTCTTGTCACGTTGATTTTTTTTTCTTTTTCAAGTCATCATCGTAATATTATTCTGTCGTCAGTTATTTTCTTCCCCACAATTCTTCAAGCTCCTCGGTATCCCTTCCGATCAGTTTGAGGGCTTCCTTTTCAACCTGCTCGGCAGAGAAATTCTCGTCTCGTTTGCCGAGAGCAGCCTCGGCCCTCTCTCGCTCAAGCTCAACTATGCAAAGCATTAGTAACCTGGTCCCTTGGTAGTATTTATCTTCAATGTCAGAATCAACTCACCATGAATAGCAACTGCGGCTCGTTTACCACTGAACATGGCATGGTTGCCGTTGGTGCTGCCATCATTGTTGGCGTCTCCAACAACAAACACACCATGAACGGACGACCGCATCCCCTTAAAGTTAACCTTTATCTTGTTCCTGTTGATCGGATCTCGTGCCAAACCTAACTGGTCGGGAAGGTTCGAATGCTGCTTAGTTGGGAAATTTGTTATAAACACGGATCTCTCAACACTGGTACCGTCGTCGAAATGGACCCTGAACTTATCATATTCCTGCCAGGTTGTTTCGTTCTGCACCTTGGAGCCATCCTGAAGACGCTCAATGGAGCAGATCATTTTGTTGTTAATCTTGACATTGTAATGTTTCAGCTGTTTTCTCCAATGGGGGTATTTCTTGTTGAGGTACATGATTTCACCAAAGCTGTGCTCGGTGCCGTTCACGAAAGCAATGATGTCTTTGTTCAGGGTTTCGAGTTCGTAAACGCTGTCCATGATATGTCGGAGTGGTCCCAGGATGCCAAGCGGCTGGTCACGGTGTTCCCAGCCATCGCACCATGGGCACCAGTAGATTCCCTTGCCGAAGTTCTCCCGAAGTCCAGGTGTACTTGGAAGAACATCTAATACACCAGTACCAAGCACGATTTTGCTGGCTGTGTATATCGCACCATTTTTGTCGGTGACCCGGAAGAAGTATCTTCTTCTTCCATTTTCGAAAACCTTCTCGACCTTGTTCACCTTGACATCTTTGATGGAGGTAGACTTGTATCGGCTGATCTGCTTTCTAGCCTTTGCGCGGAATACTTTTGGTTCAACTCCTGTGATCTAGTTAGAACATTTGCATGGCCATAATATAGTGCTTCAACTTGGGATATAAACGTACCATCATTGGTAATCATATCATGTATATGCCGAGTGGCACTATTGCGATAGATGCCCTCGTCAAAGAGCAAGACATGTCGACGGACTCGGCCAAGGGAGCTGAGGGCACTGAGGCCGGACGGTCCGCCGCCAACAACAATGACATCGTAGCGATGTTCTGGCCCTAGCGGTGGTTGTTCATTGACCATGGGGGCTGCAATGACAGAAGTGAGAGCAGAAGTAAGTGCAATCAGGGCGAGGGCAAAACGTTGAACACCCATCTTGACGGGTTTATCTCAAGCTCTGAGAGTAACTGGATATTGACTCGACGTTGATGTCTTCTTCCTTCTCGTCGTCCTCGAGGGAGCTGTCGAGCAGACATTTATATCTCTCTTCAGGCATTGCGACTGTATATTCGGCTAAAGGGAAGCCGGAGCACTTTCATCCTCATAGCTTCATATCTTTTCCTTTCTGATGAGCTCCGGAGAGCAAATCACAGTTGTGAGGGCAACGTCGAGCCTTCAGCAGCAGCACAGGTGGATCTGAGCAGCTCCGTCTATCCATGAGCAACTATGGGCCGCCCTATCCTAGCAGCAGCCCAGCTATAGTTCGTCTGCATGAAATAATGCGGCAAACAGGACGTGCGAGGGCAGAGAATAAACAAAGTACTCCGTCGTTGGGGCAGCCAAAGGACATCGTAACACTAGCCTCGCCTCCGAGTTCAATTGAGTCGAAATTGAAAGATGCCCACTCAACTAGATACTGGCAGGTTTTCAGCAGCATGCAATGCCGCTGTCAGCGTTACAGTTTCCATCGTACGACGGACAGAAGCCAAAAGAAGGCTAGAACCAAGGATAACTTTTCTAGTCGATCGTCTTCTGCGGGAGTATATGGGGTATCAAGCAAGCAATCGCTGCAGGCGATGCTTCGGCAATGGTCCAAAGGAGAGCAAGAAGAACACCCCCGCAGCGCCAGAAATCGGTGCCAATCGGGACACAGACTGTGCTGGCCAGCTATGGAACAAACGTCAGCCATTTTTCCAGTCATGATCGACTTTGCAGCGGAGCAAACGATGAATAGTGACTGGATGTGTTGGGGCAGCTAGAAAAGCCTGCTGTGGTCATATGTAGCATGCAGAACTATTGAGCGTGCGGTGGATACAAGCAGCTAGCTAGCTAGTTAGCCACATGATAGCTCGGTGGCCAGCTGGCCAACCACCTGACTTTGCCTAACTAACGACGAGCAAGTTAGCCAGTTAACCCTAAGGCCGGAGGCGATTTGAGCGGATAACTCTTAACACCGCAGTTTTAGGTGGGAAAGCGAGGGCTGCGATTTGCTCGGTCTCTCCGGGTAACGCTTCCGGGCGGATTCTCGTCGTTGAATTCTTCTCTTCTATCGTCATTATTATTTCCTCATTACATACAAAATTAGATATACACCGTCCCATGGACAGACAACCCAAGTCCACTATATGCAGCCATTTCTTTCCCTGTCAAACTTGAATAACTCCCAAAATTCTCCGTATGCAAGGACCCCATACCTCAATAACGCTCCAGTCGAAAGTGAAATAACAGGGAAACAAAAGACCCTCCGCGCTGAACTCCGTGGTCAGTCATTCCGATCTGCATATCCGAAATCAAACTGGAACCTCCTTTATCTTCTCGAATTTTGATTTTTGAGTGTTTTCATCAGGATTCGTTGTAATAGCACTGTTTTCAAACGTCACCGAGCGTGAAGATCTCCGGTCCGGCTCTAGACTTTCGATTTTGACATGCACCTCGCTGACTTTGACAATGGCGTCTCTCTGGCCATCTGTACCCTGGACAATGGCCTCCTGACTCTCGGTAGTTGTCTGCTGCTCGACGCCACTGTGATAGGAATTGAGAGGGTAGCAACGGGTCTTCATGTTTGGGTTCACTCCATATATCGTTGTCCCTTCTTCCTTGGTCCCATACAAACTGATGTCAGTTGCCCAATATGGAAGTGGCTTTCTTTTCGTTGCAGGCTTTCGTAACATGCTACGGGGCCATGACGTTGACCCTGATGACCCGGTTGCTCGGGAGGTGGCCTCTCTGAGGATGAGTCTGACGAGTGGACCCAACATTGGGATACAGGCAGCAATCATGATCAGATATTGCTCAATGCACAGCCAGAAAACGAGGTCTATCGTGTTCCACGAGTAGTCTGCACGGGCAGAGAGGCGCGAAAGAAATATTGTCTTGACGACAGAAGCACCCACCGCTCTAAACAGCAGAACAACAATGGTGAGCAACAAGCGTCACTGGCAATGGGAAAGAATAAAAAAGGATACCAGATGCAGTGTATAACTTACACAAATCCAAGTGCAAAGATGGCCGCCAAGCCAAGTTTCACTCGGAGCGGCATTTGCAGTTTCGATATCAACCGCACGGGATAAATGGCCAGTGCAAGATCTGACGCGGCCGAAACGGCTGTGGAGAATGAAGTTCGGTTAGCAATTTGAAAGCTCTGACATTCAAAACGGGACATGCGAGCCAGACTAACCTCCGGTAAAAAACGCAAAATCTCTCTGGATTCGAGGATTCCAGCAGTTTCCTTTGATGCTGTGATCCCATAATGACTCCACAGGCATGCATTGGCCATAGATGGTGAAGATACAGACGAAGTTGACGACGGACAGAAATACCATGCCGCCGTAGAAGTAAGGAGCTTGTCGAGTTGCATGGCCAATAATGCGCAGGAGGAATAACATGATAGATACTTTGGCCCAGTTCGTAGATGCAACGTGGAACCCTTGAGAGATCCAATTGTATTTATCTGCTTGCATTGCTTCCTCTTTGGTGAGATAAAATTGATGTCGCCCAGTGCCGTGGACTATACTGGTGGTAATCATCGCAGCGTTGACCACAGCGCAAGCCTAGATGATAGAAAGAAACACCGTGTTAGAGACTCACACTCTCCTCCTCCGACGAGACAATATATTTACCAGAGCAAGTATAATAAATCCGTCGTCCCAGCCAAACGCTCTCACGACTTTGACCCGCGTCCATATTCTAGCTATGACAAGCAGAAGAGATATGCTGAATCCAGTCCAAGTTAGAATGATGATGATATGGCCTTTGTTAACATCACCATCCGGAGGCTCCTCTGGTAGTATCATATTGCTGTATGCTTGTGAATAGCACCCTGAGGACAGCTGGCCTCTCCAGCAACTAGACCCTAAGCAAATCCGTTAAGGACAGTGGAACACCTTCATCAATGGCGATGGCGGTTAAAGGGATGAAAAGGAAGGTTGAGTCCGTCTCCATGATGGGGGCTACGGAGCAACGGAACCATCTTATATGAAAGTGGAAGATCGTCGTCCTGGCTCGTGGTAATATTCATTTCTGCAAGGCGTTTGCCACTAAAGAAGCAGACCCTGGGATTTATGCTGGTATGATCGTATTTTCTCTCCTGTTGGCAGGGTATAGTCTTGGTTCAGCGCTATACCCAGACGGCGAAGATCATTCTCGACGTTCCCAAGACATACAGGCCAAATAATGTCCTCAAATTCTGAAGCGCCTGGTGACTAGATAACGGGTCCTGTTGCGCGCTACCGCAATAGCGGGTAGTCTGTGAATATTTCCCCCTCATTTCATCTGATGTGACGCCTCGTAAGCCGTAGATCTCAGATTCGTGGTTCGTGGGAAAGCTTGTCAGGAGATATTTGACGGCTCGGGACGAAGTAAATTTACTCCGTTCCAGACTGAGGCGGCCGTTCATGCATTAGCAAGTCTATTGGAGGCCATGTTGCTCCGATACCAGACACCAGGGTCTTAGCATCCTATCGGAATGCGCTAAAAACGCCAGAATGAATGATGAGCCACCTTCTATTAGGAAAATCTCGTCCATCAACCATCTTATGGACCTCGTGTTACATGACAAGAGGCAGAGAGATCTCTATTTTATGCATGTGGATATATGCTTGTCACGCATTTTTCATCGGCCTTTGCTCTGAAGGAACAGGCGTGGAGATCTAGCGGCCCGCCAGACTGGGGCAAGAAGCAACTCCAAAGCGCCATGTCGCTTGAAACATTAATAATATTCTGGAATATATAATGTAGCCACCAGTGTCTATTGAGTGACACCTTAAATGTTCAGGGCTTCCAAGCACAGAAGCTAGACGGGACGTTGCTTTTTTCCTATTTGAGAGCAAAAGACATTACACTAACACGTGATTGAACACTTTAGGTAGGTTAGGGAGGCCCCCCCAAGGCTCCAAGGCTGGTCCTCACTGGTACGCTGAAAAAAACCGAGCGGTCTCAAGGCCAACTATCGCAAGGTCCAAGGTCTGTGAGCCAATGTTTGGCGTTGGCGTGAGTAGTGAGCCGTGCATACATGGGTACCTCGGCAGTATCAGGCTAAGTATGGTAGTAAAAACCTATATTCACTTGGTCTGGGATATGTTTGCTCTGAAGAGACGGCACACGGGTATCGAACACAAAATAAGTATAGCCAAAAGGCAAATTATCGATTGAAAAGCATATCAGAGGACTGAAACAAGCTCTGAATTAGATAATAGTATCTTATTAAAAAGTAACATCCATCCAGAAAAGGAAAGGGAAATTATGTTTCTTCAGCTGGGGGGTAGAGGAGGGAGGGAATCAGACAAGGAAAGGCATGGTTCTGTAGCCTTGTGGCTAGCTAGTCTGGAAAGTCATTCAGAGTTTTCATTCAGGGTAAAAATTATACCCCTGCAGCAACTGCAACTCGAAGATGGCTTGGTCAATTGAACGATAAATGCGCCCGACTGGACCGGATCGCTTGACCCCCCGCCAATAGACCATCAACCCCGGACGGCTCAGCCGGGCCAAGGGAACAAGGGTAGCTCGGCTTCTGTGGGGGGTAGGACAGGGTAAATAAAAAACACAAGAGACGGGAAATCACAAAGGTTGATAAATAGAAAACAAGCAAAATCCAGACAAGTCCTAGAATGTCAAAAGGGTTGAGAGAGGGGAGGGGGGGAGGGGGGGGGTTGAAGGCTATAATAGTATATAAACGCCGTGTGCACCTTCGCCAAACTTCCTCAAAGTGGGGGAAGAATAAAAGGAAATAGTATACAAAAGAGGAAAAGCATAAGGTCAAGAGTAAGGTGTCATCTTGACCAGCAAGAAGCTTGGGAAGATACTCGAAGGTACATCTGCGGTCGAAGCTTCATCCCTGAGAATGCGGGTTTACCACGCCAAGATGAAGTTCGTGTGCTAGGACCGGGTTGTTGTATATCAACGTAATGCATGTGGCGTAGGCACTACTTGTGTCACTAGCTGTCATTCGTAATATGGCGATGGATGCGGATTATTTTGTGAGACTGAGGTTGAGGCTGATATTCAACCATCGAAGGTAAAGTGACGGCAGTGTAGGTTCATCGTGCATCCCTATTGTCCTCGAAGGCGTTCGCTATAATGATGGAAATTATTTCCACTTCACTCCGTCGAAGCCTGAGCGTTTTTTATCGCCGCATCCAGCGGGATCCGAGTTATGTATACAGGGTTTCGAAGATCTTTTTGCGCCCGGATTTTGACCTAGTAGATTTCGGAGAATCCATGTTAGTAGGTTGCATAAAAATGATGTGCGGAGAATAATAGCATTGGGGCTCCAATTAACAGAACTAAAAATAACGCTTAATGCCTACCTTGCCCAGCAGGTGAAGAGTAACCGCTGCTGGAAGAACTTTCCGTAGAGCCCACGGAAACTTGAGATTTGTGAGGCATGTTGAGGATGTTCCCCCGGAGCTTTTTGTTTGTATGGCTGAGGTTGAAGGCTTGTAAAAAGAGATGAGCTTCCGCTTGTTGTTAAGACGGAAGGTTGATTGCGGTAGAAGACAGAGGAAATTTGCTGTCAAGAGACGAATAGACAGGAGATTGGGCTTGTATGTAAGGTTGAGATGAGAATGTAGAGGCGTGAGAGATGTGTTGAGAAAGGGGGTAAATCAGGAGGAAGATTCTCCAGGTATTTATAATCTGGAGGAAGAGGCTTGAGAAGAACAAAGCACTCTGGGATTCGATGAATCGACAAGAGGGCGCGATGAGAAGAGCAGAGCCTCCGGGCCAAAGCCAACCAAGGTATTCTCCCTGGTATGATCTTTTTGCCTTGAAAGGCTCTAAAGATAGAAGTGCCTCGGGGTTGAAACTAGGCAACCAAAGGGACAAGGAGCAGTCAGAGGGTGAGTTCTATAGGCACCAGATGAAAGCGGGCAATGAGAGATGTCTTTTTCTTGTTTCTTAGCAGGGTATCTGATGACCTTCTACTATGTGCGTCATGGTAGATGGGCCAGGCAACGACAGGTGAAAATCAAAGGGCGAGAAAAAAAAAGTAGCCCAGAGAATTAGGCAGAACTGTCAGCAAGCGGAGAGGAAACGAAGCTCATTCGACGACGAATCGAGTCCTGTGGCTGGCAAGGCAGGAAGGAGATCAGTATCTGAACTGCTTGCTTTCCCAGACGTTGAATTGAAGGTACAAGGAAAATGAAAGGGATCAGGAGGAAAAATGACGGAGAGAAGAGGACGGAGCAACCCCCGGACAGAAGCAGCCTAGCTAACAGGGGCCACGAACCCCAAAAAACAAAAAAAGGGCTTGCAGCACGGTGATGATAGGCCAGGCTAGTCAGTGAGACAGCGTCAATTGAACGTGGTTCAACTCTCTGGCCTCTAGGATCGAAGCTGTTTCGTGGCCGTCCAATTGACGCGCCGTTTTGTCTGGCGTCCGGGGAGAAAGCGATGGGGGGAAAAAGCAAAGGATGATGAAGCCAGCCAGACCAGCTCAAGCCCACCGCAGTGCCCAGGGGGGTCAGAAGAGTGATAGGCCGCAGTTGAAGATCCAAGCCAGGGAAACAGAGGACAGGTAACTCCGTAGTTTCAGTCACTCTCAGGAGGTCCGGACAGGGCGATCTTCATGCGCGTCGGCACCTCAGCAGGCAGCAGCAGGCAGCAGCAGACGAATTGGCTCGATATCCCAGCAAACAAGAGCAGGCAGCAGCGCGTCGCGAGGTCGTCCAGCATCACCAAGCATCACAAGCATCACAGAGCATCACAGGGGAGGTTGGAAAGTCGGGCGACGGAGGAGGTTGGAATGTTTTGACAGCAGCAGCAGAGCTTCCTCTTCGGGCCTAGCGCGCGTCGCTGCTCTGGCGATGGGCTGGGAGTCGCCCAAAGAGGAAAAGGCGGCGAGGGCCAGGCAGAAACCCACGGCCCGAGCCCAGCCTTTCGGCCCAAAGGGGTTTAGCCCTGTTTGTTGATGAGTCAGCATGTGAGGCGACCAAAGACGCTAGCCCCCTTCTGGCGCCCAGCGTCACGTGAAAAGGGGGGAGGCAAAGGGGCAAATGATCTTTCACGTGATATACTTGCCCTGCCTTACCTTTTTGGGCAGAGGTGAGGCCCTGCCGCTGCCCAGACGACGAGACGAAAAACGATGAGACTAGGGAAGGGCGCGAGCCACGTCAGGGAATAAGCCGTGAAGGATGAGATGATGCTTCCGTGGCTAGAAGGAGGCGCTTCCAATCCCTACAGCACCAGCCGGAGAATCTTGGGTAGAACTGAGCCAAGTTGAGACGGGATGGACGTCATCGGGAACCAGACAACAGTGACACTTCAGAGGGAAAGGCGAAGATGTGAGAAGGATCGAAGAAGAGCGGTCTACCTGAATGCTCTCCGTACGGCGAGTATAGTTATTCATAGCAACAGTTCATAAATCCGAAGCTGATGATTGCAGATAGCTCAGCCGGCGTCGCTACGCCTGACTCTCCAACTACAGACCGTAAGTCACTGCTGATATCTGAAACTGTGACGTGGTCCTGTTGTCATGCGCGGCACCTATTTACAGAACATTAAAATTGGACATTTTCCGCTGCT